GCCTGGGCGGCGGGGCGGGCGCGGGGCCGGGCCCGCTCCATGCGCTGCGCTGTGCCCGGCAGGAGACGCTGGCCAACCTGGAGCGGCAGATCTACGCCTTCGAGGGCAGCTACCTGGAGGACACGCAGATGTACGGGAACATCATCCGCGGCTGGGACCGCTACCTCACCAACCAGAAGTGAGTCCCGGCGGCCCTGCCCGGCCCTGCCCGCCCGGCCCGGCCCGGCCGGGCCCCCGCGATGTGGCTTCTCTCCGTTTCAGGAACTCCAACAGCAAAAACGACCGGAGGAACCGCAAGTTCAAGGAGGCCGAGCGGCTCTTCAGCAAGTCCTCGGTCACCTCGGCAGCGGTGAGTGCCGGGCCGGGCCCGGCGGGGCCGAGCAGACGTCCCCATCCCTGTCCCCATCCGTGTCCCCGTCCCGCTCCCCACCCCTTGCTGCTCCTCGGTGGTCACCCGGGCTGCTGCAGGACCAGCTTTCCATTTAAGCTCCTGTACCTGCCCAATATCCCCTGACCCGAGCATCTTCACTCCCCCGTCGCAGCCCCTTTCAGAAACCCCTTTCCTAGCGCCCAGAGAGGCGAAAGGGAGCCGCAGTCAAGAGCCACCTGTGCCACACGCCTGTCACTGCAATCCGTGTCTTTATCTTTTTGCTCCTAACCCCCTTCTGCTGTGCTGTGCTGGTGCTAGGTCGTAAGCTCTTTCAAGCAAAGGCCTGACGCGTCTTTCTGAGGCGATCTCTGTAGTTTTGAGCATTTGAAAAGTGGTAAGTGAATTACTGCTTTCATTAACATCCCTTTCGGTTTTCTAGGCGGTCAGTGCATTAGCTGGAGTTCAGGACCAGCTCATTGAGAAGCGTAAGTCACTTTCTCATTTCTCTCAGAATTTGGAAAGAACTACACTTCTCCCCACCATTCAGCTCTGTCTCCAGTTGTCTGGATCCGTGCTGTACGTGCTGCTCCCCCGCAGCGCTCCCCGTCCAGGGACCTGCAGCTGCTCCCCTAAGGCCGGCTCCTGAGTGCTCCCAGCACACCCGCTAGCTGCACAAGTCAGCAAAGTGGCACCGTGAGAAACAGAAGTAAAGTTGAGCTTCCTTTCTTGAGCAAACCTTTATGCCAAGCAAGGGTTTATTGTGCATAAAACTTATTTAAATGGATTTGGTCGTCTTTGGAGAAAGAGGCTAGAAGAGCTGAAGCAACGCGTTTCTGTTTGTGTCTCTCTCAGTCACTTGCAAGTGACGTGAGGAGGAGCCGCTTACATTCAGGATTTTTAAAAATGTTTTTGTAATCAATGCCAAATCTCATGCAATTCTAGTGTGCTTCAGTTGCTGAGGAGGTAGCCTGCTGTCCTTCAGAAATATTTTTCAGGTTCTCTTATTTACCACCTGGTGCCGTAAGGCTCAGCGTGTCTCTGCTGCCCCATGTTCTGTTGCTGGGGGCTGCTTCTTCCACGCAGGGCTTTGCCAGGGCAGCCTGGGGTGTGAGCTGTGGGGTGGTAACCGCTGTGCTCGTCTGTGTTTGTCCTGCTCTAGGGGAGCCAGGCAGTGGCACAGAAAGTGACACTTCTCCAGACTTTCACAATCAGGAGAATGAGCCCAACCAGGAGGATGCTGAAGAGCTGGATGGGTCTGTGCAGGGGGTGAAACCCCAGAAAGCTGCTTCCTCTACTTCTTCGGGGAGCCACCACAGCAGCCACAAAAAACGGAAGAACAAAAATCGACACAGGTTAGTGGTACCAGCAGCCTTCTTGTCATGCCTTCTGAATGGTTAGCTGTTGTTGAATTTACCTTATTATGTGAATGGAACTAGTAACTTGTTAGAGTAATGAGCAGCTCAGGTCATTTGTTTTGGTAATTTTTCTGGTTTTCAGTTGTATGCATCTTGTAGCATTCATCAGGACCCCATTGCCCCCATTGTATCAAGGAGGGGAAAGCATGCTGAAGAAGATGAACAAGCAGCACAGGGTACTAACTCCAGCTCTGGTACAGCTAGGCTTTTGACCAGGCTTTTTCAATTCTCCTATCTGTCCAGGAGAATAAAGCTGTCTTCCTTCCAGTAGAGGAAGATTGCAGTCCTGGCCTCCTGTGCTTGCTTCTCGGTTTCTGCAGATCCAAGTAAGATAGGAGTGTCAGTACTTTCTTTGGAGAAGGAGGGTGAAAAAGCAAATTGGAATGTTTTGGGGGTTGTGGACACTCCCAGTGCCTTCACTAAGATTTCCACTCCAAGCCCTTTCAGCTGTCATGTCCCAGACTGAGTCTCTTTTGATTATGGCATTTGTCGTGTTAACCTCAAAGTGTTTGTTATTAAACTGACCTGAAATTCCTGTGAAGCAAAGATTTCCTGAACTCTTTGTGGTTGAATTTAGATGACCAGTTCTGCCCCTTAAGGTAAGCCCCTAAGGTGTGATGCAGCATGGTGGGCTGACGACTTGGAAATCTGAAATAAACTCCCTGCCTTACAGTGCTGCTCTCCATGGGCCAACATAACCTGCTGCTTAACTGTGTCTTGGAGCCCCTCAGCAGAGCTAGCCCAAGGCTTTCTACAGAGTATGACAGTGCGCTGTGGAGTCAGGCCCTAAGGGGAAAAATCCATGGAAATCCATGCACTTGGAAAGACGAGACATTTACTGCACCTTTCTGGAAGTGATTGCTGGAACTGGTGCCTAAAGACTATTAGAAGTAAAGGAGCTTTTAAAAATCAAGTGTTCTTGCTAACTTTGAGCTTGTTGGCTTTGTGTGTGGATGGGCTTTCCTTTTTAAGGGACCTTCCCATACAATTACAAGAGAGAAATGTTTTAAAGAAAAGTGGTAAAAATTTACAAAGATTACTGGGGGAAGGTTGGTTTGGGAGGTACAGAGGTAGGTATAGTGCTTGAAAAATGTTTAACAACTTTTTCTTCTTCGCTAGGTTTTGAGTCATTAGTGTGTCTTTCTTAGATCAGAATTTTCTTCCTACAGCAGTCTTAATTGGGCAAACATCCTGAAGTACTGGATGTCCCTTTGGGTCCTCATAAGGTGGGAATCCAAAGCAGTTCAAAACTCCTTTTTTTTTGCCTGTAGACAATTGGAAAGAAGTTCAGGAATAACACGAGAAACTACATCTGTAAACAAGTTCAGAGGAACAATCTGTAAAACTGAAGTACAGCTTAAGAAAATTGCTATTTCAGACAAATTATAAAATGTTCTACTAAGCGCTTACTTACATGGACAGCAAACCAATCCACTGCCGATGCAGTGGGGTGCAATACAAGTGCTGTAAATAATATAAATTCTTTTGCTCCATTACATAACCCAAACTTTAGTGACAGGAGTTAGAAGAAACTGCCCTACTGACAGGTTGTGTTGCATTGGGGTTTCTTCTACATTCCTTCCACTGAAGCAGCTGATGCTGGCTACTGTTGGGGACAGAATGTTGGAGATGAGGAGCCCTGGTCTGATCTGGTATGGCAATTCTTATCATCCTAAGAGATATGTCAGACACATTACATTATGGAAAGGCTTAGTAAGTTAGTAATTGACTACTTCATAATGCTTAGCATGGCCAGATAGATAATTAAAAGAAGAAGAAGATAATTAAGTTTGTCTGTAATAAAAACTCTGTTAAAATTGTGATTGCCGTTACTATCTCCTAAATTTTGGCAGAAAAGACCAAACAATTTTTAAGTATATCTAGGTTAAAAAAACCAAGCAACCAAAACCCAACAACAAAACAGTCCCAGTCTACTGAAGGTATAGCGAAGTGCTTTAAAATGCATTGCAGCCCAGACTGCTCTTTCAGAAGAGACCTGCACATCTGTTTCTTGAGTGTCATGGAATGAAAAAGAGAAGAACAAAAAGAAACATTGGCACTTCTTTTGATTCAGAAGCTCTTCCCTTTGCCGGCATACGTTTGAGTTCTGCTCACCTGTTCATGAAGAACTGGGAGGTGCTGGGAACAGGCACCCTGAAGCTGTACTGACTCCACTGGCTTTTCTACTTTGTACGCCACCGAGAGCAGTGTGGAAAGTTGGATTCAGGCTGGGCAGAACTGGCATGAATAGGCAGTTTAACTTTGAACAGTTAAAATCAGGGAATCAGATGGAAGTTACAGTGTCTTTATTGTAGTCATCCTCTGTACCCTCAGAGACCACAGGAAGGCCAAGATGATTCTTTTCTGTGCGCTCAGCAAGTTCATGGCTAAAAAGTATTTCAGAAGAAAACAAGACTGTTTCCTCTTAGAAATTCAGTGCTGAAAAGCTACTAAGTTACAGCTGATTTGATGATAAGTCTTTTCCCACCAATACAGTTGTTAGCTTTGGGGCAGAAGTGTTTCTAGAGACAGTGCTGTGGTATCTGTGTGAATGCTGAGACGAGGGGTGGGAATGTCACCAAACTGTAATTAGCTTTGGCCAAGTGACCATGTTCTCTTTTTAGCTCTCTAAAGGAAGCGAGTGCAAGAGGATGTGTGTATGTGTGTACATTATGAGAATATTCGAATGCGAAGTTGGCCACTTAGTTCTGTGTCGTCTCCACCTCTGCCTGAACAAGCTTTGCTTTGCCGTAATAATCTAGACAAAGCCACTGCTTTCTGACCACCCGCTCGTTTGTTTTTGCAAGCAAATCAGTTTTTCTCTCTGCCTATGAGCTAGTGTGCACTCTCACCTATCTGATAGCTTCCTTTTTCAGCACCTAAAATTCCCTCCATAAAACCAGTCTGCCTCTGTTCTAACACCTCTTTTTCCCGGAAATCCCACTGGGGAGGGGGACTCTGGATTGCCAAATCTGGAGTGCTTTTTGTGCCCAATTCTGGTTAAGATATCTTAAGAACTTTATGGCATTTGAACACTGGCTTTATTATTTATTTTATTTTATTTTATTTTTTAGTAATCTCGCTAGGGTGGCTAATCAACTAATTTATTTAATTCATTAGTATATTAATTTCTATTGCTTTCTTCCTTTCAAATGCTGCCCCTCAGCCCGTCTGGCATGTTTGATTATGACTTTGAGTAAGTTTGACTTGAATTAGTACTTGTGCTGTGTTGTTAGTGTGTAGACACCAATGTGCCTTTTGAGACCTTTCTAACCCATAGTTTATCTGTTTAATTGTAGGTATGTATATTAGGTTAGGCTGGGAAGTTTTTTTTAAAAACAGAAAAGCGTGATGGAGGTAACATTTTATTTAATAACTTCAGCAAAATTAAATTAACTTCACTCTTCTTTACCTTTCTATTTCATTTTTAAATAGATAAACTTTTTAACTTAAAAACATAGTTTCAAAACTGATTCTTCTGGCTTTGCTTCTTAAGGAGATTAGTGTAGACTTGGATATTTCCTTCTGGAAAAATGTAATAAACCAGTACCTTTGACTCATATAATCCCTGTCATCTTAAACTCCTATCTCTATTCCAACTAAATAACCATTACCACTATGTCTGAATAATTACCTGTGGCATAGTTACACATCTAACAAATTAACATAGAGCATGCATATTTAACCTTATTTCTTTATGCTGCATAACTTCCCTGTGATTTTTATTATGAATCTTTATTAACTCTTTTTTTGAGTGGACGGAATATGCATTTTACCAAATAATAAAGAATCCACTCTCCGTCTCTTTGCTGCTCTCTTGTCCAGTAATATTGGGACAGTGATTTGGCTCAGCCGAATTGAGAATGTGGATTGAATTAACCAAATAGTCTTTGTTGTAGCCTGTGCCATATGCAGTAGCTGGTTCTTTGAACTCTAGTGTTGGTTTAATGTATTGAAATGGACATTTCTCTTATCTTTCCAACCACAGGATTGATCTCAAGTTAAACAAAAAGCCAAGAGCCGTAAGTATCAGTGCTCTGTCATTGTTTTCATTGCTCATCTGTAGACTTGAGTGGCTGACTGACTCCTAATCTTAAAAAGCCTCCCTCTGCTGTAATTTAAGATCTTATTTTCATGGTTGAGGAATATCATGGTATGAAATAAGCATTGTCTTGTGGATTTAACAGTAAATAAGCCCAGGTAGGTTTGTTATGAAGCTAGGTCACGGTTAAGTCTTGTCCACTTTTTATGGAAAAACCTGTTTTGCGTTCTATTATCTTGTCATGATCCAGAACATTAAAAGCATCTGGTTTTGGTTGATGTGTTCTTGAACTAAGGTTTTGAAGGATCCTTTCTTTTGAATGTTTAGCTACAAGAAAAAAAATCTCTTTTCTGTTTTGCCTGCAACTAATGGTATGTAGAAATGAGAGAAGACTGAGAATCCCAGCTCTGCAAGCAGTATTGAAGGTAGGAGGGTCTTAATGTGCCTGTCCTTTTCTTTCTCTGCAGGACTACTAGACTCATCAGTGGTGATGCTTCCGGGATTTAGGTCTACGTGAATCCCCGCTGAGAAAAATGCCAGTCGACTGAATGAGCACGATGGCAGCTCTCTGGCCAAGTGTCTGCAGATGGGAGTGGCTCACTCTAAAGAACTTAGATGGGAGAAAATCTTGGACCATGTACTTGCATCATTTTTACATCACCTGAGTTGCAGGAAGACTAAGGTGTAATAGTAGTAGTAGTCCTGAGTTCCTGACTGTTCTGTGCTTCCACCTCAGTCAGGAACTTCCCAAAATTGGCTGATCTTGCTGCCACCACCCCTGTCATCTGCAAACCCATGGAGAGGTATTTCTTTTTCCACTGGACCTAGGGTATGATTCAGTATGTCCCACCTATGTTGTAAGACTTAGATTACTTTTATTGCTGATAATTAGCATTGTAGTTTTGGTTTTGCTTTGGTTTTTTGTTGGTTTTGTTTTTGTTTTTAAACCAAAGTGTATAGTTAACAAATTGCCTTTGGGTTTCTTTGTTTTAATCCATGTAGAGCGGAAAGTTCTTCATTTTGTGGAACAGCTTATTTTGATTCTTACTCAAGCAGAGAAGAAGGTGGTTAACCCTTTTCTCTAACTTTAATTTTAAACACCATCCCCTGAAATTTACACAGTGCTTTTAGATGCAGGGAAGGCTGGAGCTCCAAAGCCATCTTGCTCTTTACTGTCTTTGAGGTTGGGTGGATTCTCTTTTTAATACAAACTTCTGTCATTTGTACATAAACAATAAAATTACATGTTTGTCTCTCTTCTCATGTTTTGTGCAGTCCAAAATTTGACTCCTAGTGTTTTTTTATTCTCCATCTGCTTTATTGAGGACTTTGCTGGAATTCTTCCACTTCTGCATAGTAGCTTTTCCTTGTCTCGTGACCATCCTTGTGCTTTCTTTCCTCTGGTAGACATAACATTGACTACTTGAAAGGATTGCCAGGCACTAATCTCCAGCTGTGTTCCAACTAATCCCGCTTCAAGGTAGGACTTGGATGTAAGTCAGTTCTTGCTGATACTGGCAGAATGCCCGCAGATAAGAAATGAGCAGTCTGGATTGCCACTGGTAGAGTACACAGAGGGATGAGTGTTAGGTGCTTTTCACAGTAGCCGGGTCAAGATATCAGTGCTGATGTTGAAATAAGCTTTGCTTTTCTCAAGGTGGCAAATAGGTTTTGTTACTGGTGCTGTAATGTATTTGTGTCTGCTTAATGAGTGCTGTGGGAAAAGCTGTATCGCTCACCTGACGGCCCCCCCAGTGCGTGCATGTGCACTTGTTACAGCTGAGTGTTCATTCCGTTCTGCTACACCTCTGCTTTCCTGGTGTCTTGGGTCTTTTTCAGCTCCCTCCAGGCAACACAGTCAGTGCAGAGCGGTACCGAAGAGTGAAGGCAAATGTGTAGGGCAAAGTTCTCCCTTGTTCTGTTGTCTGGTTCAGGGATCAAGGCAGCTCTGTATTTGTTCACGGTGGGAGCTGGCTTATCCCACAGTAGAGTGAGCAGCTGGCACTCTGCTGTCAGGGGCCGATGGCTGCTTATCTGCAGGGGGGTGTCAGGATGTAATGGCTTAACGGGAGAGCAGCAAAGCTGTCCTACTTTTTTGTGTTTTAAGTTACAGAGGTTAAATACAGGGGGGTGGAAGATCTAGGAAACAGCATAAATTCCTGAAAGGCCTTGCTTTTCCATAGTTCTGGAGAAAAGAAGTCATAGCTGATGGTTTTTGATTACTTGGCCTTGGTACAAAAGCAGTTTTTCTCCCACTACTTCCAAAGCAAGGATTGCAAGAGCGCTGAACTTCAGAGAGTAAAAAATCTTTGCTGCACCTCTTTGACCTCAAGGAAAGCTGCTGTACCTTTTAGACCAGAACATTTACCTGCAGAGAAACAGCAAAGGGCTCCTGTAGCTTGGCTTGGAGGCCTGTGTGTACAGGAGTTTTTTGTGGTGAAGTGTCAATCAATCAGCTCCACTTTCCCTGTGATAGGCATTAGGGGTGCTGCAGGGACAAGGGGAAAACGCAACCTTTCCTGCCTCCGGCAGTGTTTGTCACTAAAGGAAGGGGACAGCCTGTTCTGATGAGGACAGTGTCTGATGGCAGCAGCCCTGGGGAGCCAGCACACTGATCAGGGCAGAAAGCTAAATGGCAAACGCTTGGTTCACAGTTGAAGGCACCCTGTTCTGCTGATATGCAGCTCTTCCCTCCCAGGTCCTGCTGATGGGCAGTAGCCCTTTGGCTGCCACGAGACAGGTGAGATTAAGAGGCCGTGGGGCTCTGTGCGGTCTGCCCCAGCTTGTCCCAGAACAAGCACTAATGGCTGAAGCTCTGCAGCAGCAGCTTCCCCACGGTGTTACTGTGGGGCGGGGGGGAGGATGGTGTGTGGCGGTCTCTGATCACTTTGGGAACATAAGCACCATCTCCTACAAGAGTGTCATGAGATGGATGCTGGAGTCTGACTCTGGCAGTTGTGCCTAAAACTTCTATTTTATTTCTGAAGACTTCTGTTTTAATTCCTAAATGGCCTGAGTGACTAAAGATCCCCAGATAGCCTGGCCTGGGACACAGGAGTCAGAGTGCACTGCATGGGCTTTTACCTGAATGCTAATGAAAGCTAGAAGTAGTAGTTAAAAATAAATTGCAAGTCCTTTGCTTGTAGAAGATGAATCCTGAGCAGAGCAAACGAGGGGTGGCACAGCAGCAACCGTCCTTATGGCCACCAAAGGTAGAGCAGGAGAAACACTAATCCCCTGCGCAGCCTCGTCACCAAGAGGATTAGGCAGGATTTTATCGAGCCCAAGCAAGCGGTGAGCAGCAGCTGAGAGCTGACACCACGCAGGAGGGGCAGCAGCTGCCCCAGCCAGGTCCAGGAGGGGTCCGCGCATGGTGCATCGCCGGGTAAGGGGGCACAGCCCGGGGGGAGCAGGCGTCCCTGCTGAACTCATGTCCTACCTGCTGGGGTCTGGCCCTGTGAATGCTCGCCCTCCCTTTTGCTAGCCTGGCACTCAGCGAGCCAGGCTGGACACCAGCGTGTGCTGGTGCACCCCGCGGCTGCCACGCGTCCCTCCAGCATGCGGAGCGTGGCACGTGAGCAAGCCGGTGGCTCCCAGGGCTGTGGGCACATCACCTCTCCGTCTCCTGGTCTGCAGGGTCCCCATGGGCAGGCAGCGTGGCCCGCTGGTGCCGAGGTGGAGGCAGCTCCTGCGCGCCGGGTGCCGGTGGCTCCTCTCGCTCTCCGGGACAGTGCTCTGGGGGCTGTGGTGGCTCTGGAGGCTGGTGTGGGTGGGTACCACGGGGGGGTGGGGGTCCCTTCCCCAAGGGCCTTCAAGCACTTGTGTCGGCTCTAAACGTGGCGCGTGCCCAGAACCAGGTGCCGGGGCGTGGGGTCAAGGGTCTGCCGGAGGGGTGTACCGCTCTGTACCTGTGGTGCCGGGGGCTGTGGTTCGGTGCGGCGGGGGCAGATGGGGGAGGAGGTCACCACGCCGTCCGACAGCATGGCTGGAGGATTGGGACCCTCATCCTTGGGAGTTGGCTTGAGGCACTGTATGGTTCTGCCCTCCGAGAGCACTGGGGATGTGGGGATGTTGCTCCGGGCTCTGCCCTCCCTGGGGCAGGTTTGAGCCTGCTGCTCTCACCACGCGGCTGCCGTCCTCTCCCCCAGTACCTGCTGTTCTGCTACAAGAGCTGCTGGGACGGCGCCTTCCAGGTCACCGAGGAGGTAACTAACTCACTCCCCCAACGTGCCCCCACGCCACAGGGGCTGCGGAGATTTCTGACTCCCCCAGGACACGGCTGAGCCCGGTGACACGGTCTGTTGGGCGGCCCTGTGGCACCAGAGGGGCTGTAGGACCCCAGGTCACAGCATGGCAGGGTTCCCTGGTCAGCGTCGGTGCCAGCGGCCAGCCGGGCTCGGCTGCCCGTGGATATGTCAGTCCCTGCTGTCCATGGCGGCTTTCAGCTTGGCATGGTGCTGCGGTCGAATCTGGAAAGTGGCAGCCAGGGGAGCGAGGAGGAGGAGGAGGACGGGGGTTCCACTTCTGCGCTGGAGCCTGGGCAGGCAGGTAGGTCCCCGGCACGGCGGGGGGGTGTCCCTTGGTGCGGAGGCCGATTGGGGTGGGTGTCGCAGGGCGCTGGCGGGAGCTGAGCTGTGGTGCCAGGGCAGTGGCAGAGCGGCAGCGGTGCGGTGACGCCAGCGAGGCCATGCTGGAGAGGTTAGAGGCGCTGGAGGCCGACGTCCGCTTCCTCTGCACCGAGCTGGGCGCCGAGAAGCTGTTGTGGAGCAGCCGGTTCCTGGAGCTGCTGCAGGAACAGCAAGGCCTGCGCCAGCGGGTGAGTCCCCCATAGGGCCCCAAGGACCCCCCCCCAGTCCCCTCCAGTACACTGGACCCTCATGCCCCGTCCCAGTTGCAGGAGCGCCCGCGGCGGTGGGACAGCGGTGACAGCCCTGAGCTGCTGGGGGAAGCGGAGGACCAAAGTGCCAGTGGGAGTGAGGGAGAGAGCCTGGCAGGTAGCAGCTGGGGACACGGGGGGGATGGAGAGCCAGTGGTCAGGGAGGGGGGACCTGCCACCTGCAGCCAGAGCTGGGGATGGGGCAACATGTTGAGGTCTGCCAATAGGGAGCACTGGGAGGTACCTGGGAGGACAGGGTGCCAGGGAAGGCTCCCAGGCCTCTGTACCAGTTGCCAGCAGGAGCCCGGCTGGGTGCTCCTGCACTCAGCAGAGCTCCGGCCATCGCTTCGCCTCTCGCCCTTTTGCTCTGTTAAAGGACACCGGTGGATGGAGCCACGCTGGCAGCCAGCCCCATGCCCAGGCAGTCTTTTGGGGCCAGCAGCTCCACGACAAGCAGAAGGTGTAAGCGGGGTGTTGGTGAGACGGGAAGGAGCCACATGTCCCTCCCTGCCCAGGCACTGCAGGACATAGGCCAGGACGGCACAGTCCTGGTTGTGTTCCCATGTCCTTGTATGTGCCTCCATCATCCTTCAGTGCCAGCCAGGCCCTGCCCCGTCCTGCCCCATCCTGCCCAGCCCTGCCCGTTCAGCAGAACTGCAGCCAGTTCCCAGAAGCAGGAACCAGCCGGGAGGCAGCTCAGGGCAAGCCGCTGTCTCCTGGGCTGCCCAGGGCAGGTCACAGTCACCCCTTGCCCGGGGCCACCCCTGGGACTGACTGTGCCCTGGGCAGGTTGTCTCTGGTGGAGTCCAGCAAGGAGCATCTTCCTGACCTGCTGCAACTTGTTGGGAGCTTCCAGGAACGAGGAGTAAGGTCACCGCCAGCTCCGTCACCTTGCACGAGCTGGTGACGCCATGGCCACGGATGGATTGCAAAACTCAAGCGCTGCCCCGTTTACTTCCTCCTTGGCCAGTTGAGCCCCTCTGTCAGCTGCTCCACACGCGTTGCAACTCTCGGCCGGCTCCTTGTGGCAGCTCTCAGCGGTGGGGAGGGGGAACCCTCTCTCCTGGGGGGGCCGAGGGGCCCTCGTCCCCAGAGAATGGCTCAGCCAGGGATGCTGTGCTGCAGGAGTGCCAGCCCTGAGTGGAGCAGGCTCCGAGCTGCATGGGGCACATCTGAGCAAACATGCCTCTGCCCCCCCTCAAAAGCGCTGTGTTGGGTCTGTCAGCCCCCAGACCAGCAAAGGCAGAAGAAGCAGCTGGGGGGCGGGGCTGGAGGAGGGCACTGAACCTCCCACCCCCAGGAGCACAGACCCAGCAGGGCCACAGGACCTCCACATGTGACAGGATCAGCCTTGGGCTCCCGTGCAAGACCTGCGGGTGAAGGTCCACCCTGTGCCCAAGCCCTGGTCCAGCCTCAGGGGGCTGCATGCTGGCTCCCACCCTGCCACGGGCTCCCCCCACCACTGCCAGCCACTGCTCTGCTGCTGTAGAATACAGGCGGCCACTTTCCACTTGGTTGTGTGCGCTTGGTCTTTCCGCTGCACGGGCTGCACCACCGCTGCTCTGCAAAGACCCCAGTCCTGGAGCTCTTTGGGGAGAGGGTGTGAAGACGAGCTCTTGCTGAAGCAGACTGGGGACCAGTCCCCACCCCATGGCAGCTGGGGCACGGAACAGTGTGTACCGCAGCGGTGATTCAGTCAGGGAAGTGTGCATTGCAAACGTGAGCTGTGCTGCTGAAGGGAGCGTGTGGCAGCAGCACTTCCCGCCTGGGAGATAATCCTGCCTTGCGAGAAGGCTATGCAAACCAGCCGCTCCTTGCCCAGAGATGGGCAAACGCTTTTCATCGCTGTTCCCACTGCTTAAAACACGTCTCGCCAGCCCTGTGTGCGCAGCCCTTCCCTGCGGGCCCTGGCACTGCGCTGTCTGCCACCGTCAGCTGCCTACACCTGGGCAGCAGTGACCCCGCAACCGCCAGGTAAAGGGGGACGAAGGACTCGCTGGCAACCGGCTTATGGCAAAGGCTACGGCTGCCCCTGAGAGAAGGCAGCCACTAATTCAGGGGCATCTGCCCTCTGGCACAGGCAGCAGAAGGCTCCTGCCGTCACTGCCTGCGAGACCCACAGGCACAGCTCTCCGGGAGCCCGGCGATGCCACCGCACACCTACACCAAGACTTGGCCTGTGCATTAGGCAGGGAACAAAGCTCTGAACAAATCCGTGCCCAGGACTGACTCCCTGCTCCCCAAGCAGGGCAGATGTCTCGATCCACCACACAGGCAGGCGTCTTCCTCTGGGACAGGCCAGAGGAAACTCCAGTTTCTCCTGTCTCCTCTCCAGCTGGTGCTCGTTTTCACTTGGGGCAAGTGCAAAGAGCCCCCCATGGCACACAGCTGAGGGTCTGCTAGTGACCCTGCTCTTCACAGTCCTGCAGCCCTGAGAACTGGCCTCCAGGCCTAAGGCTTTTTTTTTTTTTAACTTTCATTCTGATTTTGTTGCCAGCACCAGGTAGACTTGTCTGATGCTGCTTGTGAATTAACCCCACAACACTGTGGAATGGCTGCCATGACCCTCGGCCGGCTGCCATCCCCAGAGCCCTGGAGAGCACATGGAAACCATCTCCACAGCCCCCACTGCAGCCTCTGCGCCCACCCCACAGGGCTGGCCAGGTGCAGGGACTGGGGACAGGCTCCTACAGTGAGCAGGGATCGTTCCTCCCAACATGCCCATGCAACACCCCACATCAGGGAACCGATGCAATGCAAATAACAGCAGCCTGACTCATCCTGCACCAACCTGGCTCCTGCACGGTGTTTGAGGTGGGACAGCCCCACGCTTCATAGAAATACCAAATTAAATCAGGTCCTGCAAATGAGCCACTCCTGGGTCCCTGCTGCAGCAAAACCCCAGCTCCAAACTGACCATCCCCTCTCCTGCAGAATCACAGCAGCATCCACGCAGAGACCTCAGGAGCACCAGTGATGCCAGGCAGCAGCTTTGCAGCGATGTGACACAGTCCTGGCCCTGCTGCAGCCACAGCTCAGCTCTCCTGAAGCAATCCACAGGGCTGTGCTGGAAATCCCCTGACAGCAGCTCAGCCACTCTGCCCTGGACAGGGTTTAGGAGGTGGAGGGTGAAATAAAGCAGCATTAGCTACGTTCACCAGCAATTCCTCCCCACTGGCGCAGCCCCCCGTGGGTGGGCAGCCCCCGCTGCAGCACTCTCACCACGCTGCCTCTGTGTGAGGCAACAGCTGCCCCGCAGGCTGAGGAAACCTTTCCCCTGGGCCAACACGCCATGCAAATCCTCCTGACCTATTGCTCAACCAGACGCTGTAGTTACTCCAAAACATTTGTGCAACGCAGGCCTTCAGGGGCGCGGGGGAGGCACTGCGAGCCACGGGGAAGTTTGGGGCTGCTTCTCACTCCTGGCCTGTGGCTGTGCCAGGAGGGCTGAGCTGGCTGCCGCTCCCCCCAGTCGCTGCAGCAAGGGGTTTAGCTTTGCTCGGGGCCACCTGCTCAAGGGGAAGCTGAGACAGCAAGAAAGCACTTCTGCTGCCCTCGTGCAACTCCTTAAGGGAAGACTTTCCACGGGCAAACCCTGGCCTGAGGGAATGCAGGGGCATTCAGGGCCTAAACCCCAAGGCACTGAGGAAGGCTGGTGACAGGTGAACTGAAAAATGCGTGGCTGGAGGGTGAGCACTGACAGGTACCTGCACAGGCAGCACTCCACCATCCCCAGCACACCACCAGCCTCCCTGCCCCTGCCTGCTTTCCTGCCCTCTGGTAGGACCCAGACCCTCTCTAGCTGTTGCACCTTTCTGTCCACTTCGGTGCAATGTTTAGTCTGTGCAGTTACTCACTTTCTGCATTTCTGTCTTACAGCAAGACTGTACCCCAAACTGCCTCAAATATGCAGTGCGAAGCTGCTGCTGCGGTCAGGACACCTCTCCCTACCTGCAGGGAGAGAAACAGCCCTGCAGCCTCAGAGGTGGGTGAAAACAGAGATTTGATGCTGAACCTGCTTGCTTGTAAGGTGGCCTGCCCCAGACAGGTGGTATCGCCACAGCCCCCATGTAACCCCACACGTGTATGTGCTTCTATTACACAGCAGCCCCTTTCCCACAGCCCGTACAGGAGCCGTGGGTCAGATTCCTGCCTCTGGAAATGCCTTAAAATGTTAAGAGTTGAGCTAGCCACATCCTGGAAATCCCCCGATGGGAGGGAACCAGATGGGTTCAAACAAAAGTTCAGCAAGCAAGAAGGGCACAAGGCAGCTGGTGCAGGGGAGGGGTGAGCAAACCCTGGGGAACAGGCTGTGGCCCCACAGACATTGGGTGCCCGATCCCTCTGGGCTGGGAGCAGGGGGCTGCGTCCACCGCCCAGGGCCCTTCTGGATCACCGCCCAGCACAGGGGAGGGAAAGACAAGAATCCAGCAGTGTCTACCCTGACCTTTGCCACAGCACAGCTTCCCATTTCTTCCTTCCCTTTTTTGAGTATTGATTTAAAAAAAAACAACAAAAAACCACAAAGTCAAGATATCCTGCAGCACTGACTTCTGAAGGCAGGCTCTTCCCCTGCCTGTTCACCCTTCCATTGTGCAGTGGGAGCAAAGCCTTTCCTTTGAGGATATTTAATTACCTTTGCCATCTATTTCTAGCACAACTGGGAAGGCAAAGAGGAGACTGTTCCCCTCTATCCTCAAACACATCAGCAGACCCCTCATTCCTCTTTAGAAGCACCTTCACTCAGCCTCCTCACCTTCACGTCAGAGTTTTTCCTACCCCAACCCACCCTCCTTGGTTCCCTTTACCCCGCCTTGTGCTTTTGGGAAGGATGCAGCCACAGCAATCTCCTCATGCTGAGAGTAGGAAGCAACACAGATGACAAGTGAGAATGACTTGACCACTGCCAGAGGGTGAAGGATGGCACGCTTGATTTGGAAGGAAAGAGCTAGCGATGGCTGTGCTCACCAGACTTGTTTTGCAGAGCTCACAGCCGTTCAGCCAGCTCCCGCTGGCCCCACTGTCCAACAGAAACAGCCTTGGGTCATCTTAGCAATTCTCCTTCTCTTTCCCATTATTATGCCCTGACTTTTCAGGTGCCTTCTGCACCCCGTTCTCCAGCTCAGCCTGGGAGCTGCCCCCTTCGAAGAGAACAGCAGCCATTCCTCACCCTGTCAGGGTAGGAAAAGCTGCTCAGAGAGGAGCGAGCCTCCTGCGGGGCTCAGCACAAGGCTTTACCAACTGCACAAGGCCAACAGGATGGAGGCAGGGCAACCCCGCTGAAATACAGGAAACTTTCAACAGGGTGTCTGTGTATGACCTCCTTAAACTTCAGTAGATCAGTAAGCTTACAAGAAGATCTAACCTATTTTAAATGGATAAGAAACACAATGCAAATGCACAGCAGTCATGACAGGTCCTCCCTGCCGATGCACCCCAAGGAAGTGGTAAGCCACAGGATGTGTCTTGAAAATTCCACAATAACAGCACAGCGAGAGCCTGCCCAAGCACAGCAGCCCGCCATGTGCAGGTAGGCAGCTCCTCCGACTCAGTGCAGACAACTGTGTGGGGCAAAAACCCATGCAGCTTTGACAGTTCTGGTCAGCATTCCTCATACTTCCTGAGCTCCCGGGCACCGCAGTGAACCGGCCCACCAGGATACATGGCACACAAGAAAGGAGTACTTGCACTCAAACACACAGAATGCTCCAGGGGCAGGAGGCACAGGTTCACTCACGCAGAAGCCTTGCATGAGACAATGACAGAATTCAGAGAAACAGTGGCTGGATTTTGGCTGGGTTTTCTGGGTGGCATAGCAGCACACACAGCAGCAGTTTGTGGGAATGATTTTGACCAGATTTGTATTAGCAACTGACCCTCCCAGATTGCTTCGTGTGCCACCAGGACTGTCACTGCAATAGAAGAGGGCCATTAACATCATAACCAAACTAAGTCACCACCAGGTCTTCCTTTTCTGGTTATGGTAAGGAACCTCTGTGCTTCTGCACAGATTCCTTTAGTTGTGTCGGTCCAGCTTTGATAGAAATAAAAATAAGCATTCCCCCCACACCTACACATCCTGCAAAACTAAAATTAGCTATTAAGGTATTTTACAAGAAGACTGGCCTTAAAATCCTGCAGCATTTTTCAACTACAGACCCCACTACAAACAGCAGAAAAAGTCTTCACCTGGTTAAAAGGTCTGATCCAAATCTATGACGCATCACTTAATCCCCTCCCCACCAAGACCCCAGCCATCATACAGGTACAGAGCCACATGAGCTTACTGTCACTTCAGATGACATCCTCCAGAGGGTTCCTCTCCCACAGCCAATAAATGACCTTTCAGACTGTGAGGCTCCAGATTTGCTTTTTGAAACAAAGGACTATCTCTGGGAGCACCTGCCTTCCTTGTTTTTTATTAACTAGAAATAGTCATTGCCCTGTATTAAATCAGGAACACAAATTTGAATAAAGACTATAAAGTTATTTAGCAAGTCAGATAGGAACATGTGGTTCTGCAGTATAGCAGGTGGGAGGGGAAGATTCTTACACAGAAATGTGAGCATTGATATTCCTACTGCATTTCCTTCCCAGTTCATAACAAAGCTTTAGAGCAAAGTCTTGACATGTTAGAGTTCACATATTATCATATGATCATGCTTGACATCTGACACAGATGTGCTATACAACTGGCTAAAATACGTATTTATTTCCAGACTATACTGTAGAGTGCCCATTAAAACTGAAGCACAGCCCATGCTGTTTATTCCAAAATTGTTTGAGTGTACTATCCTTTAGCACCCGAGACATCCAGCACCACCGTGGTTCTCATACTGCAGTTAGAACCACATGCCAGCGCACTGCTGCCTCACTGCACCTCGACTGCCAGTGCCTCCCCTATGCAGTGAGCTAACCTCAGTAATGCCAAATAAACAGTAAACACTGGACATGCTATTATCTGCTACAGCAATTTGGAGCAATTTGATTTTTTTTTTTGACCTGTCACTCTGCATCAATTCACAAGCCTGTCAATATCCAGCCATCAGGCTGTTGCTGCCACTAGATTGTGTATGAAGATCTAAGATTGTCAGAGGAACCCCAGGGAGGAAGGATAATTCCTCTGACTTTCCTGGAAAGCCAGCCAAAATGTTGAATGGTCTTCCAAAAAGCCACCAGAGACCAAATAACTCAACTCAGCAGTTTTTATTCATATAACACAAGTTCTTACTTTGCCATGGCTTTCACATGGCTGCCTCCATTCAGTACATAAACTATATACTGCATAATGATACAGGAAGTTCAGTAAAATGTCAGCTTGTGAGTATAAAATGTTAATCTTCTGATTGCAAGAGAAGAAGCATATATCAGCATTCCACCAGAAAAACAAAAACCACGATGCCAAGTAACGCAATGGCTGAGTCAAGACTAGTACTAATTAAAAACAGCATCAAGCAGCAAGTTGCTGGACAATAACATTAAAAACCATTTTTCCTGTAATTTACAAATATGCAAAGTATCAGGTTACTTAAAATTAAGAAGCATTTTGCTTACTAACATGAAACATTACTAATTTGTAATGTATCATAATTAACCAGGTATACAGGTTTCTGTGTCCCTGTGGTTTTTATGGCACATGGTGCCAGTCTGGGTAGGTCACTCCTTGGACAGTCAGAGGGAAGAACAGTAATAGACAAAACCATTCCTGAAGAGGGTTCTCAGAAACAGCTGTATTCCACTCTCCCCTTCATAGTTTGCCACTCAACAACCTTGGTTTAACCACAAGATGGACGTATTTAAAAAACATAACAGAAAACACAGATACAATGTGTATCAACAAATCAACTGCTTCTGGCCTGCAAGTGCAAGAAACATCTTTGCATTCTAAGCACAGTGAAATTCCAGGACCAGAACCAATTACTACAGCAATTGGGTTTGCATATTTAAAATTGTTACAGTATCTACAGTAAAAAACATCTTACAGAGTAAGAGGGAATGAAAGGGGAACAGTCTTGCCAAATAAGTCTTACTCTACATTTTTGGATGCTGCTATAGATTGACGAAGCTGAAGGGGACAGGAAAACATTAGTAAGAAGATGAAGCAGCAGCTTTACAGAGAAAAATACTAAGGAATCCTCAGGAACAGTACTGGCAGCAGTCCAGACATGACTACAGCTGTTTTACTGAATGCTCAAAACTATTGCTGTCTGAAAACAAAAGGCACAACATCATAAATCCTCCTTGTCAGTGTTGTACAGAGATAGCCTAAGACAGGTTACCAGGCAAGGTCAATGTTTTAGAGCAGCATCAACAGCGTGGTCATCCACATGTTCTGACAACTGCATTTTTCAGCAAATGCCAAACACACAACTTGCATGTAGCTTTGGAGCAGTGTCAGGCCTCTCATCCTGAGAAAGGATTGCACTCCTAGCTCCTCTTATTTCTGGGAGCTGAGCAGCTTGCTAAGCACTTGTGCTACATATTGGAGAATGACCTCATCTCAGGAAGGTAACCTTAAGTGGGAGGGGTATGGGAAGCATCATGAAAGAAGTGCACCAATAAAACCAAATTAAAGACAGCTAAACCCAGCTTCATACTATATTTATAATCCAACATTTTTCCACAGGTCTGCATGGCAGTATTTACTAAAGAGGCTTAGTTAACAGCTAAGAACAGCCTTGACAATGCATTTCTGTCTTCACAAAAAAGCCTCACACCACTGCAAAGGTAGTACCCCCTTATCTTTCACAAGCCCCCCCCCCCCCAGGAGTCCTCCCTCCATATGCCTGATAATACACTAAATCATCTCAAAACTGAAGCTAATGGGAGGAGTAAGGTCACATTCAGTTCTGAACAACTGTAGGAATTTAGGGTGTGTCTGACTCACCATACAATCCCAAAGGAAAAATCCTGCTCTGAAGCTGCAGCCTCTTCTCCTGTTCAGCACCCAGAGCCTCTTCAACAGCCTCTGGGGAAGATGGGACCCTAGGGTGCTCTCACCTCTCTAAGAGGGGCACACTGTCACGTCTAGACCAGAATTTGCTGTGAGCATACCACATCTGGTATCCAGCCTCCAACTGGAGCCTGGTATTTCCAAGGAAAAAGGAGAAGCCCTCAGAAGGCATCTACAGCAGCTACAGAGTGCAAACACTGCCTCTCAAGCTTTTCACATGCCTGGCTGCCCTCAGCTTCTGCCTCATATACCTGGGTTCTGAGACTTGTACGTCAGTATCTCTGCAGCTAGCCTTTGGGGATCCAGAAGCCGAGGGAAACGGCTCATCACAGCATCAACTAAATGGGGATGGAATATGCCACACAGCTTGACATGCACATTGGCCCGCTCCTCTGCAAACTGGTCAGAGACAGCCCACTGGCAGGAGTCCCCATACGCTGGCCCTGGGGCTCTCTGTACTGAACGAGGATCTCGCACACTGGTAGATATCACTTGAGGCGGCGGCGGCATCTGGTATGGTTCAGACCAGTACTCCCGAGAATGGGGTGGAGGGGCATTATACTCATTGGGCAGGCTGTATTGCCCAGCATTAGCTGGGTGTACAGGTACTCCATAGCCTGAGAAAGAGTGAGGTGGCCCTGAGTGAGATATCTCAGGGCTATACTGCAAGAAGCTAGCACCAGAGGAGGAAGATTTATGGGAACTATGCTTGTAAGAGACCAGACCATTTTTCTCTAAGCTGGGAGAATGTGGGTAGACAGGTCTCTGCCTACCACAGGTGCAGACTGCCACCTGATCAGCGTGGGAATGATCACAGTGACTGGTAGATCTGTAAGGCCACATATCAGACAGTTGGTTCTCCAGAGACCCAATGCCTGAGTCAAGATGCTCCTGAGAGATATAAGACAGAGAGTCCATATGAGGCTGCTGGTACCTGTCAGAAGACCTGTGGCTCCCACTGTTAGGGGGGATGCTGCCTGACACACAGCCTTTGACCTGAAGTGAAACATCGCTGGGCTTTGCTTTGTGGGTCAAGCTTTTCCTCTCTGCAGAGACCTTCTGCAAGGAGCTTTTATCACTCTCTGTGGGCACAGAGCACAAGAGCTCTGCCTGGGAACCTCTTTTGCCCTTTTTCTCCTCCTTGGCACTGGTACTTCTGGTAGGAGACAACCTTGCGTTGGCTCGGAGTTCATCAGCTAATGAGCGCTGGGGCTGATTGATCCTTTCAGGGTGGTAGAATTTACACTTGATTCCATAAGTGCATTTCTTCCCTGCAAGGAAAGGCAGAATATGGAATGACCAGCTGAATTTTACTAAATGCATGAATTACACTTGCACAGACACCTCAGTCTTCATGTTTAGAAGGCAGGTCTTACCATAGGGGCACTGTTGTTTCTTGTGCTCTGGCACCACAGGTTTCTTTCTGAGAAAGTTATCCAGGCTGGGGCCATGTCGCCCTAAGGGATCATCTGGAGGCATAAACCTAAAGAAAAATAAATCTCAATCAGAAGCAGTTCACTTTCTTGGGTGAGGGTTTAATTTCTTCTCAGTGTCTCCCATTTCATTGAAGATTAAAAGCTATCTGAGCCCTAAAAAGCTTTCCCATTTCACTGCTGATATACCCTCCTGTCACCTGGTAAAGACCAGCATGAAATGCTTCACTTCAGGCACAGAAGAGGTTTTGTGCTCTGCTGCTGACCAGAATTAGTACTTACTGCTGGGCCTGCTAGTGACTGTCCTGTGAGGAAATCTAGCCCTGGAGCTCTCCTAGGAACTACAGCAGAGCTCCTAGCTCCAAACCATGAACAGCTATTGAGATTACTCCAATTCCTTATGCCTTTGTACCTCACCACAGTTGGTTAGTTCTTCCCACCACACTTCCTTCTACATAAAAAAAATAAAAATCTCTCTACAGCATTTTTTTTTCATTCCGTACCAGCATTTTGCTCTTTTCATGCATCACTTGCTCTTGCTTCATTAAAACAAGACAGCATGCTCACACGGATCTTTTTTAAAAGCAAAGGAAGAATGGGAACATACTTGTCATTAACAAAGGAATACATCAGCAGACTCTCCTCAATGAATTTCTTCCACTCAGGACGCTCGTTCTGCAGGTCCCGATAAGTATCGTTAGAAACCACAATGCCATCAGACTCATGTGCCAGTTTCACAATGAATCGATCATCATAACAGACAACACGCTTGCCTCCAACCCGCCTGGAAGGAGTGAACACCAGAATTTTCTTCTTTTCAAGGTCACGGAGAATGTACTGGTCTAGAACAAACACAACTGTGAACACACTTACACAGCCCAAAGGCCTTCGCACAGATAAAATAACAATATAAATAAATGACAAAATTCATGTAGTCATTTCATCTCTCCACAACCCAGCCTGTAGTCTCATCTCTTTTCTTATACCATCCATCACGCTGTCAGAGGCGGACTCCTAGCCCCTGTGCCTGCGTGACACCTGAGAACAATTGGAGCACACCACAGAGGCTGCTGTAATTCAGCAAGTCTCATCCACACAATCTTTTGCTTGCAAAGTGTGATTTGCATTTAAGACTGGCAGGCTAATATCTTTCGTAGTGTCATACTACGTGCATAGATTTCTGAGCAGAGGTACTCAGAAATCTCAGTTGTTTGCCAGTTCAGAGCAAACTCCCCTCAATTTGGATAATTCGGACTAAACTCCCATCAAGCTTTAACTTTTAACATGTAGCAATTCTGTGCGGTCCCCCAGTGTTGAATATGTTATAGTCAAATACATTGCGTGAAGATGTGTCCCTGAAAGAGGAAAAAAAATAAAGTAATAAAAGACAAGAAGTTAGAAAGCAGAGTAGTATTACATTCTTTGTTCTCTGAATTATTGCAACTGATCCAGGCAAGAACTTGCTTAGGGGAGAAGTTAATGACTAATTCTCACTGGTCAGCTCAACTTACTGGATCTCCTACTACTCAGATCTTCCATTCATAAGTTAATTACTAACTAGCCAGAACTTTGCAAGCTCATTAAGCGACAAAGCATTAAGCCTGAAAAGCTACTTTTGGTTTTCATATTTCCACACCTGTTATAAGTACATCTGGTCGTGGCTGCTCCTTCCTCCAAGATGGCACAAAGACTGTAATATCCTTGTGTCCCCTGTCCCAAAACCACTGGACAGCCAGAAGGATGCCTCGGCAGGAGAACACTTCTTTATTTCCATGGCTGCATCAGAGAAGAAAATTAAGGACTTCAATATTCAGGTTATGTACAGACTAGGCAGGCAATACACTAAGCAAATGGATGCAGCAATTCAGACAACCTTTAGTGAAGAAGTGTTAAGAGTAGCACAATCAGTATTCATTGCTCATCTTGTGTAAACAGAAGCACTAAGATCTTCACAGGACTACTGTTCCTTTTAGCACCTTAGTATACCAATAAACACCCAAATTCTCACTGGGAGGGAGAAGGCAGCAGTAACCGTTGCAGCCGCTCTGAAACAGAGCCTTTGCTTCAACTCTGGACTCTAGCTCTTTATTTTTAGCCCCAAGTACAACGTGATCTTGAACACCCTTTGTCCTATTCTGCCAGCTAATGCCAGTGGTTAATCTCTGCCAGTGCAAACTGCACTCTCACTAGGTGTTTTGCTTGTAAAGTTACCATGATAAGAAAAACAAGATATTTTATGCACTCTTACCTCAAGGACATCAGCACTGATGAAAGATGCTTCTTCATTATATTATGGCCCCAAAAGTCAGTTACAAATGCACAAAATAGCAACATCTCCTGTTAACAGGATCAGTGCTGAATGTCTTAACAGCACTTGGCAGTTTAAGAACAAAGTTTGACAACAGCATCAGAAGCTATGTACCAATGCAAAAAGCTGCTTCTCAATTATTTATTAGCTCGTATCAATAAGTTTCCAGAACTTCTAAGAGGAAACTACCACTCCTGTTTTACAAGTGCCAGTATTTACAGTGTAATCAGCTCTTCTGTTGATAATAGTGCTGGCAAACTTTCAACATTTCTGTATTACAGCCCAATTTGTCATTCTGGGGATGTAATAGCCTGCGTTTTATGATGAAACTCCGGTAAGATGTACTATACTGCAAATAACTGGTCTCATGATTCAGTAAGATTTTTCCCCACCTGGGCACTACCCCAGCCCAAAGTCTTACTCTTCCCATCTACACTTGATTGATATTTCAACTCCCACCACCACTTAGCACGCCAGTGAACTCCTCCATAAAGTAATTAGTGAAGAGCTTACATCCCAGCAGAGGCACTGCTAAGAAGCAGTGTTGCTGGAGTACTACTAGAAAGAAGCTTTACTTCTCGTCCTGTCCTCACCCTTCTCAAACTATTAAGAAAATTGAAGAGTTGTACCAAAATACTTATTCTAAAAGAACTATACATTTAGCAACAAAGAGACACCAAATGTATCTTCATTAAGAATCCCAAATTACAGAAAGTCTGACATTAACCATCAGAAGAAAGATGCTCTAAAAATTTTCTCCAATGTCAGACTGGTTTTGCTATAGATAAAGGTAGGTTACTATAATCTTTTAGAGATAAATGCAAAAAGCAGAGTTTTGGTTTTTTGGGGGTTTGGGGTTGGGGTTTTGGTTTTTTTTTTTTTTTTTTTTTTTTTTTTTTTTTTTTTTTTTTTTTTTTTTTTGAGTCCCTGCTACCAATCTCAAATCTACAGAAGGTAGCCAATTGGGCTGATCTGATTTGGCAGCAGCCAAGAAAAAATTCCCTTAGAAGGAAGTAAAAGCTAATTTCCACTATGATTTGCATATGTTTGTCAAGAGCTGTTCAGGGAGGCCGCTGTACACACTGCAAATGAATCAGCAGGGAACATCACACCATCAATACAGGAAGTTTCAGAATGGAATTCCCCTTCTAGCAAATTGCTTAAAAAAGGCAGACTGCTTTTCTCATGTCAAACTCCGTCCTATTGGCAGCATTATTATTAAGGCCTGGCCTGTCCCAGTCACATTTGGTGTGATCTCTCCTGTGCTTTTTGGGGATAACTTCCAGGGGTAAACAGCTCCTCATTCAAAAAATCACAACCAATTCTGTTGTTTAAGCCTGAGCACTTATCTAAGGTGAGCTTCACTGCAAGAGTCACACTTATCAGCCCAGGTCTCACAATGGGCCATTTTCCTCAAGTGATTGCACAGCTGCTGCAGGAATAGGACGGTGCTCTCCTGCAGACACCCGGGTCAAATCTTTGACTCTCCAGCCCTGCTCTACAGCCATCAGAATTCCTTATTTGCCCTGGGACTCGCAGGCTCTGTTCGCTGGTTGCACAGCAGACTGTACCCCATCTTTTCCCAGTCCTGTTCTCAGAACTGTCAGCCACAGCTTGGAGAAAACCACACCTGAAAACAAATCTCCACTCAGCACTTTCACCTTAGACAAAAGGTACAGTAACACACACAGCAGCTCTGTGTGCACCCAGGTTTATTTTTTATAAAAAAGTCTGTGTACACAAACATACACTACAAGACCTATTAAGATAAAACACAGTGAAGGAGGCTTGCTTTTGAACTGCAACGACAAAGCCTAATTCGGAAGCCTGGTGCATTAAATTAACGGAGCCCAGACCCTCCTGTGCAGAGGTGGGGAGTGCAGCACCAGGGGTTGGGGCTGGGGCAGGCAACACTCACCATCGCAGGGAACAAAAGCCAAGGTGAAAGCAGGGACATCAGGCTAATAAACATCCAGCCCAGAGATTCTGGGCGCTCCATGGATATTAGGGCTCCTGCACTCCCAAGTTACCGCTCCAACCCAAGCGGCTTCGCAGGCTGCCTCTGGTTGCAGTGCCTGAGAGGACCTGCGCCATCAGCACCAGAACACCCACGATGCTGAGGGCAAGTTACAGCCCGGCCTTGGTGACACCAGAGTGCCCCTTTGACACCTCATCTGTTCTCTACACTGTAGGGAAATCCAACCAAAATACAAGAGTCGCAGTTTGGAGACTGGTCTCCAATGCAGGAGACAGCTCTGTGCTACAAAGCCTTCTCTAATTAAACCTGTAATTATTTATTGAGCAACTTCCTGCTACAGAAACTTACATAAAGCCATTAGGTAAGAGGACAGCGTATCTTCAGCTGTTCTCCCCATCAGCTAGAAAATAGAAGGAAATGCCTTTATCTCCCGGGAAGCACGCCGGCTCTCCTCAGAGCCAAGAGACCACCGGTTACGGGCTGGCAGCGACCACGGGCAGGAGAGGCTGTCAAGGCAGATGGCATCCGTGGACGCGATGCTCATCCTCGCGAGAGCTGTGCATTCTGGTGAGGTGCCTCGGAAAACACTACCGGCCGCTGGCCGGGCATCCAGCCGTTTGCAGCGAGAACCCCCCCCCGAGATTTTCAGACCCCCAGCTCTCGGCAGACCCCGTAGCCAGGGGTCAGGCAATAAAACCCACCGCCTGGCCGGGCCGCCGCAGCGAGCCCCCCGCCCGGCCGGAAACCCGAGACGCACCTCATGGCCACGTTGCTGCCATCGATCACGATGGGCTTCAGGTTCTCGCCCTCCGTCTCCTCCGGGGCCGGCGCGGGCGCGGGGGTCTTGTTGGCGGCCCCCCCCCGCGGCACCAGCGGGGCCTCCTTGGCCTCCGGCGGGGCCTCGGTGCTCTCCCGCTCGGCCGGGCCGTGCTTCACCAGCTCCCCCAGCACCGTGTTGGTGTCGGCGTTCAGGCCCAGCTTCTGCAGCACGACGTGGATCTCCTCCGAGGAGTAGCCCAGCTTGCGGAAGAAGTCCACCTTCAGCTGCATCTCGGCGCCGTCGCAGGGCTCCCGCCCGGGGCTCCCCGCCTCCTCGGGCGGCTCCGCGCCGGGCAGGCCGCCCGGGCCGAGGCAGCGGCTCTCGCACGGCTCTCTGCCGCTCATCCTCTCTCCCAGCCGGGGCGCCGGCGGCCTGGCGGCCGGCAGCGCCTCAAGCCAGCCCGGCACGGAGAAGACGCTGCCCGCGCTCATGGCTCCCCGCGGGGGACCGCCGGCCTCCGCTCACGCCACGGACCTGCGGGCCAAGACGGGCGTTAGCAGCGGGCCCCGGCCCGGCCTCCGCGGGGCCCGGCCAGGGCCGGGCCGCGGCGTG